TTGTCGAGTCTGTGTGTGTGTGTGTGTGTGTGTGTGTGTGTGTGTGTGTGTGTGTGTGTGTGTGTGTGAGAGAGTGTCTGGGTTTGACTGCGTGTGTTAGCGCGCATGTGACAAGAGTGCGAGTGTGTATACAGTATGCGAGAGTGTGTGCGTGAAACCGGCCATGAGGTGTGAATGTCCACTGTACATTTCTATTGGGCAATGCGCCATTAATAACGTGCGAGGAACCTGCCAATGCAATTTCCGCAAAACTCAGTGGAGCCTCACGAGGCCACCGATGAATCCATTAAAACTTGTCCAAAAATGTTTGAACATCACCCACCACTCACATGTCCGAGTGGGATTGAAGGGAAAAAAAAATAAATGGAAATGTCGACGGCAATGTCAACGTGAGCCTCGGCTGCTCCGTTGTTGATATATGACGGCAAACACTTGAACAGCTTCCAAATGCGAAATTGTTTCACCGATTGCTCACTGCAAGGTCAAGTATGAACACACACTTGATGTTTTGTACGAAAGGCACAGAATCTCACCTGTGTTAGCCAACTTTTCCCCTTTCGTTATTTTACATTCAAGGATATGACCAGATTTTCCATTGGATTTATCCGCCAGTCTGTCTAAATGCGAGTCATTAGTAAAGAAACATCCCCAGAGGACTCCTGGCTGGAGACGCCCGGCGGAGGAGGAAGAGGAAGCCTCGAGTGTAAACACACTCAAGTGCTTTGAATTAGCCCAATAGATCCAAAATGTTTCAACCAAAAGAAAACAGAAAAAAACCTTCCTGCTGTAATCCATGTGCACATTGCCACAGGAGTTACTTTTAACTCCAGTTTTAGATTTTTTTAGTATCTAGAAGAGTTGTAAAATTTTTGACAGTTGGATTATTTCTTGTCTTTCTGCTTAATTCTGTTGTGCAAGAAACCCTTTCTGTTGCAGTTTGGGTCCGCACTAGTACAAGAGTTGTATTGTTGTTGTTGCTTTTAAACTCCAGTTTTAGACCATTCTGTTTGGATGAAGGTTCTTCCAAAATTAGAAGGCGCACACACACATTAATAGCTAACAGCTGGCAAAAGAGGTGATGTCCCGCATTTGAGCCCTGTGGTACGTTTAAGGACCCAGCGCCAGGAGCTGTGGATGGTTTGGCTACAAAATGCCAATGTACCTGTCAACATTTTTGTTCCTGGCTTCCATGCCAGCGTTCCGAGGAGGCCCCGCTGGGGACGTCTCTGTCGCCTTCTGTTGAGGAATGACCAATCCCAGCGACTGATCCCAGCTGTTGGCTCGCTCCCGCTGTCAAGAATCCCATTGTGTGGCTCTTGTTTGGCTTCCGGTCTGTTCATTAGCATGTTGTGCTCTCGGGGTGCACGCAGTTGCTCTTATGGAGTTCTTACCCACATTATTTGTTTTTGTCCTGACAGGCAAACAAGGACCCACGCTTTTTGACCGGGGTGACCCTCTCCTCAAACTGTCCTACCACCCCAGAGACGCTCGTCAAGTTGACAGTGTATGATGTTAAGGACAAGTCTCAGGAAGTGGTAAGTAAACTGTTCAGTATGTTACCAGCTGGCAGCCTGTTTACTCATGTATGGAAAGGTGATGTCAAATTAGAAAAAGAGAATGAAGAGAATTCCTCTTAAAAATATTAAGTATGTCCCTACGAGGCTCCTGTGATGAAGGGACATGGACACAAAGTGGGGAAAAAATGAGATGGTGCCATTTTGAATTCTTGTGCGTGTGAGTAGGGGGGGGGGGAGTATAATAGAACATGACTCAAACCATAATTATTAATGAATAAATGAAATGTCCTGTTTTCTTTGTGGTAGAATGAATGCTTCTTCCAGAAAGCAAAATTGCTCGAAAGCAAAACATGTCAAGCAAAGCCTAATAGAACATCGGAAATATACTTGGTTGACTCCACATGAGTTGGAATGTGATTTCTTCATTCCGAAGTGGGTGTGCACACTTGTGCAACCACATGCTCTCCAGTTATCAAAGAATTTAAAATAACTTCCCTAGGTCTCATTTTGTTACAAAAACTTGCCATTTGAATAGGGGTGTGTCGACTTTTTGTATCCACAGTATTTTAGCTTCCACCTCTTGGTTTGCCAACATATGATGTAAAATGACATGACACTTCCATTTTTTATTCAAAACAAAAGCTCTTCCCCCTCTCCCAATTTCCTCACGCTAAATTGAATCAGGCATATTTTTGAGGTTTAAAAAGGTCGCGTGTCACAAGTTCCATAATTCATATGAGTCACTTTCAGACCTTTTGCTTTAGGTTTTGAAAAGGATGATCCCCCCCCCCCCTTCTCCTCCCCTCAGAGGACATCATCTGGGGCACATCACTAGGAATGTCAAAAAGAACAAGAAAGGGAATCTTTCAAAGGCCGGGACCTCATGTTCACACATTTTCAAACAGACGTTATGAGCCGGCTACGCGTTCCTGATATAAATGGAGCGTCTCCGTCGATCCTCGGGCGCCGCAATCTTAATTTGCCATAAGTTGAAATGAAACATTCATGAGCTTTATGGTGAGTAAGGACTCCATTAGAGGACCACGGAGCGGAATGAATCACACTTAGACCTCACGGAACACAGTTTGTGCATTTGTGTTGTTTTTATTGTCCTATTTTGAACAAATTAATCTCAGTTTCTTGCCATCGTACACACGTATTTTATATAAAAAGCACATGGAGCTACTGTTTCCCCGCCTCGCATGTATCAAAAGCAAAAAAATACACCTGCCCAACTGACGAGTACGAGTGCTCGAGCGTGTCCCATTTTCATTATGAGATAAGCAAAACAATACACCCAACAGACCGTTGTTGAATAACAGTGTGGATGAATTGTGGAATCTCCCAAGTGGGCAGCACATGACTATGCTATCGATGTCTGTTACAAGCACACATCCCGCATAGATTTAAAAAATAGTAACACAAAAACATTTTAGAAGTGGTCCAAAGGGAGAAACGACTATTTCGCTCTGAATGCAGGGCTGAAAATATTGACGATTTTCTATTTATTTAAAACTCGCCAAAGTGGAACATTATCAAGCGTGATTCACGGCTGGACCTGTGCAAAATAACCTGCCATGTCCGAGTCCACGGTTATGCTCAAGTGGGAGCACGTGAGGTAGACGTTATTTGCCATTCATGCCATCTGATATCTATGAACAACGGTGGTTAAAACTGTCCCGTAGTTTACCTGTCGAATGCAATTAAGCGACTGTTTTGTATTTGTGCGTGCTCGTGGAGCGGGAACCTCATTCCGTCTTTTGCTGAAGTTAGCCTCATAAGAAGAGCACAATAGTGTATTCTTAGGTGCCATTGAATATTCATGCGGAACAACACCCATGTGAGCTCCACAAGGTATCCAGCCTCTGTTGTTTCTCCACCTCCTTCCTGAGTGCACGTCTTATCCGCTGCTGCCAGTCCCCACCGGAGACTCCTCTACATTCAGCGGCAGGCTAAGTGACTCAACACGTTGTGGACGCGGGCGTTTATTTCCTGTGCTCAGATTCCTCGCAGGTTGGTGCTGGGAGGTTGGGCGACAATTCAACCTCCTCCCCAACACAGCAGTTCGGAATAACTGCTACCGTACGTCACGGAAAAAAAACAGAACGACTCGAAATATCCCCCCCCGCTGAAAGGACAGAGTCTGATCTTTGTTGTGGTAGATTCTTTGTATGTATTGTATATTGATTGAACACAATATCCAGTGGGTCTTGAAAATGTCAAAATGCTCTAAAATGGTTGTCAGTGAATTTAAAAGGAATGTCATTATTCCCTTCCAAAAGTCGTCAATGCTAACCGTTTCCTGGTACCGTAGAAAGACTCACAAGTCAAGGTTTGCATGTTTTTTTTTTTTTTTTAGTTTTTTTCCGACTTCCTTGAAAGTACTATCGAGATCCCAACACTTTAACACCTGGCTTTCGAACCGCCGGATGGATTTTCCCGTAGCTGTATTAGCACTGTCATTTTAAAACTAATCCTTGTACTTCACCCTGTCGCTCACTGCCGTTCTTTGGAGTGCCATTTCTCTCTCGCCGCTGTCACTCTGTCAAGAGCGTCATCCATGCAGAAAGAGACACTTTGGCTCTCAGCAGCTCAGGAGGGGCTAAAACCTCGCTCCGGCTTTTCAGGTGCAACCCAACCTCTCAGACTTGGGTTCTTACAGCCAAAGACTTGAGTGATGAGTCCAGTACACTGGCAAAAGAAAAGAAAACCACCTGGAAACGTTCTCGCGTTTGATGTTGCATGGCAACAGAGGTGGCAAAAATATGCACTTAAACTGAAGGACAGATACTCGAGTCCAAAAAAAATATCCGGGAAAAAGAGAAGGGCATTCAACTCATGGACTTTGGTAATAGTAAAAAAAGTACAGATTCTGAAATGTACAAATTAATATGATAAACAGCCATATGTTGTCTTTTGTTGACTGGCGTTTATACAACAATCACTTTTCCACCAAGCGATAGCGTTGGGTTCACTTGAAGTGGGTCAACAACAATTGTCGTGATCAATATAGGCAGCATGGCAATTGGATGTCAAACACTCATCGGAGTAAAGCCGGAGGCATTTCCAGGCGTAAAGCATGCCAAAGTGATTGTTTGCACGAGGCCTTTGGTGCTCGCGAGAGGCTTGAAGAGTCGCTGATGACGGATCCGCTCCTCGTTGGCACAAACCGATTAGTCGGAGGACTCATTCGGCAGGCGAAGCTGTTGATCACTTTGAATAGTTCTGGTGGCGAGAGGATGATAATGTCCCATTGCTTTCGTAAAGCTGTCATGAAATGTCAGAGTGAAATTCTGCCTTTTCATACCGATATATTGGCTCTTACCAGGCAGCATTTGTGGAATCTCTTTCATATTTGTGCTCTCAAACATCTCAAGTTATTCGAACTTATTAAGATTGTCTTACTGGCTATGAGTAAGTTGCGCTTAAAATGGACAACATTTTGTAGCTGTAGGTCAAACAAATGCATTACATTTAAGACGTGTGCGTGCGTGCGTGTGTGCGTGCGTGCGTGCGTGTTAGACAGGTTTACTCATTTTTTTAAAATCCCACAAAGTCAAATTTTCCTGTTCTATTTTGTTCTAATTCAGTAAATGTGTTACCCTTTTGATTCCTTTTTCTCTCTCTCTCTGTCTCTCTCCCCCCTTCCCTCCCTGGAAGTAGCATCATGTGTGATTCCGCCATCTTTGAGGCGACACGCTGCCTTGAGTGCAGACGTGGTCTGCATCTGTAAAGCTGACATTTACAGTGGAGTTCAAAGACAAAGTGCCACCTTGGCACTAAATGGCAGTCCGGCTTTGTTGAGTAAATCCAAACATCCAAGGCACACGCTGCCTTAAAATGAGACATGGCATCTGTAAAGCTGACAATATGTGGTGGCGTTCAAGGAGAAAGTGCCACTTTAAGACTAAATCTGGGCTTGTTGAGTAAAGAAACATCCATAAGAAGACCTTTTTTGACAAACGTTATGTAACAAGGGCTTGCGTCTGTTTTATAATAGTTGGAGGTGATGAAGCACTCCGGTATGGACAATGGGGCTCTCTTTGGACCAGTGAGGGTATGCTAGATTCGATTCACTGGAGCCAATGATGCTGACATTGAGGGAGGGGTAGCATGGGCAAAGAAACCAGACAACAATTGTAGAAAGAAACAGTAATCTTTTTATATCAACCAAAAATACATAACAGCAAAATTGTCATGAAAACACTGTGAAAAAAGTAAAGAAATCCAACTTAGTCTCAACCTCTTAATTGGTCTTTCCTTTAAAAGAAAAATAATCGGTGATCACCTTTCTCAACACCGGTGTGAGTTTGTCTTTTCTTTTTTTTTCAATCTGAATTAAATAACTAAACACAAAATGTTCTTGTCAGCTCTTGATGTACAAAGCAAATTCCTCTAAACATCAACAATACTAGTAATAACAAAAAGGTTTGTCAAATACAATATATATTCTTAGGTTGGCTCGCCACCACCACTGTACCCCTTCTGCAACACTTTCCGAAGTCAGGGCACCGTAATGGAATCCACTCCACTGGAGGCACGCTAATCCCAGCGTTGTCCTCAGTCAGAACTCCGGAAAAAAAAAGACCCGGCCAGAAGGACGTTGAGTGAGACTTTGATGTCGTTATACGGTCGGCAAAATCCCGGCGGTGCGGAAAGCTAACAGCTACGTTAGCCAGGAACAGTGATCAAGGTTGCGTAGAATGACTCTCTCGTTCTCCCGAAACACCTCTCTAACAATAACCGAAGAACACGTCCGTTCGCGTTCAGGCCCCGTCAGAAAAGAGAGCGAGATAGGTTGCGCTGCAAGCTCTTGACGTCACGGAGGTGAAAAACGGTACCTCTCATTCGCTGACACCTAATTAGTATTCTGTGCCCTAATTCGCTAGGGCCACGGCAATAGTCGGTTCTGTTTAACCACTTTTAACGACGCCACTCTCTTAAACAACATAGATTATGTTTATGTATACATACATTTTTTAACTTCTGAATGAACCTACGATCTTTCAATTGATTATGTGTACTTCCCATTGCCTTATGTCATAGTCCGGGTTACAGTTACAAGAGACATTTTAGCGTTTTGGCACATAGAAGAAAGTGAGTGTAAAAGTAATAGATGTAAATCTTCGTCTCACTGCCTGGTTTTGGAAAGTGTGGGGGGGTAGTAGCGGACGTCTCAGCGAGTCTGCTTGATCATCCGCGGCCACTGTGGAGTTGCGGTTCCCAATTATAAACTGCTGAAGTATGGAAATAGCAGCGTCAGTTAATCCTGGCCTGTCAATAAAGCTGGCGGGAAAAGGGCGGCGTCATGACACTTTTTGGCAGCAGCGGCTCCTTGTTCTTGGATGAGTGTCAGTGTGGCGGGAGTCTTGTATGTAAGGCCACGGGTGGGGGGCTTCACTACTTTTTGGCAGCAGCCTGGGCTGCGGTGATGAGCGGCCGTGTTCCCATCACCTCAGAAGACACTAAAGTTGGGGCTCTTTTTGTGTGACTACTCATTATGGATGCGTCAACAAAATTTGGAGTTGATCAGGGAAACTGGCCGTATGCGATGAGTTTTTTGACAAATTCCAGCTGAGGCATCAGAGTCAAGTTTCGGCGGTCTCATCCGAATTTTTCTTTTACCAGGATGAACAGGCCTGCACAAAACTTTGTCAGTCTTTTTGATTTGGAAAAGCCCTCATGATTTACTTGGCCTTTTTTTCTGAACAAAGCAGTTTCAAGCAGAGCTTAATGCCACATGCTGGGGCCCCAATAAAACATCAGAGGGACTGTGATGAAAAGCATGCAAATCGTTGCGCATAAAAAATAAAAAAAAATACAAAAGTTTCATCTTTGTGTCATATTTTATCAGAAATCTAGTTGGGAGCTCATGAGGACGTGAGGTGCAGATTATTTTGAAGGACCCCGAGAAATGTTCAAAATGACCCGAAAGTGTCCCTCTTCAAACCAATGTGGCAGACCTTTTCTATTCAGGCATGGCCCTTTGAGACTTTCTTGTGGGTCAACTCATTAATGACATGCCTAGCAAATTTTGTGTGGCGAAGTAAGCGTGGCTTAGGGGGCTGAATTTTAAAGAAGAAATTACAGACCCATGGAAAGGGCCACAATGACCCGAAAACACTTTGAATTTTTATTTTTTTATGATTATTATTCTTTTTATTTTTTTAAGATCAATGTCCTGTAGTTTTGGATCTCTCTTTACTTCAACATATCTGATTCAAGTAATCAGCTCATTAGAAAGCTTTGTAGAAGCCTGAAATGATCATGATCAATCACAAGTGAAACTGGTTTCAGGGGCTGAATTTTCAAAAGAATTGCAGAATCCTGAGAAAGGGCCACAGTCACCCAAAAAGTCCACTTTCAACCAAATTGGCAGACTAACATTTTCTGTTCAGACTTTCTTGTGGGTCAACTCATTAATGCCATGTCTGCCAAATTTCCGATTCATAAGTGCAACTGATTTCGGGGGCTGAATTTTCAAAGAATTGGAGAACCCCGGAAAGAGCTGCAAGGATCCCAAAACGCCCACTTGAAACCAAAATATCAGACTTTCTTTGTCTTTTCGGGCTTTGTGTTGAGTAGGGCTGGGCGATAATTCAATTCACTATTGATCTTACCAGGTGCACCCCAGGTAAACCACTCGGGGTCTCAGTGTGAACCCTATAGCGACTATTTGGGACTAAAGCATCAATTTCCCAAAGCATTATTTATGTGAAAATGGAATCAGATACCCAAAAGCCCCCACCGCGTGCCCCCTTTGCGGCCATGATCCCAGTCGGCTATGGAGGAGACGATCAGACAAATGAACTAGTCACTCAAGACTGAATTAAATGCTTGGGTTGACTTATTTCTTTTCTTCCCGGGAAGGTAGTCCAACTTTTTTGCCCTCCCACTATTTTTATGATGATGTACTTTTTCATGAAGAAAGAAAAGCGCTTGAGGAAAATCCCCTCTCTGCTCAGCCTTCTGCAGTGTTGTGCTTTCCAGAGAGAGAGAGAGAGAGAGAGAGAGAGAGAGAGAGAGAGAGAGAGCGGGAGCGGGTGGGAGATTGGGAGAGAGAATCAGATACCCAAAAGCCCCCACCGCGTGCCCCCTTTGCGGCCATGATCCCAGTCGGCTATGGAGGAGACGATCAGACAAATGAACTAGAGAGAATGCCATTTGTGATTGTGTGTGCGTGCGCGAATGGTGGGCCTCTTATTTTCCATCGCTAGCTGCACAAATGAAGAACATGCCAGCTACCATTTGAGTCATTTGACACGGCGTCAACGTGACCCAGTGAATACCAATGAAATGTTATCTGTAGTTTGCGGTGTTTACAACTACGATGAGTTCAATTTGTTCTGTGAGCCCGTGGAAGCTCAACGTATTCTTGAGAATTTGCAAATTGCAGTTATGCGTTTTCTCATTCAAACTTTATTCTTCCCCAAATTGTCTTTTTTTTCCCCTTTTTTGTTAGGATCTTCTTGGGGAATTACAATTTCTTACAAGACTTAATTGTTGAAAAAGTACATGTTTTTGTGCATGAGTCTATCTATGGTTGTTCTTGTACAATTGTGTCTTCTCAGTTTGTTAGTCATTGTTACGCCTCTGTTTTCGGTAAATTATGACATCGCTGATAACATTGTGAATTTATTCTTGTGAATTTACAATTTGTTGTAGTTGATATTTTCTTGTCATACTAAGACTTCTGGCAATAAAAAGTCTTGTGTAATTGATAGCTTACATTCAGACTTCAAACTAGACTTTTCTGACAAAATTACAACCTTAATTTTGTCCAAGTCTGACTGACTCCTCAGATTATGAACTGTTCTCTTTTAAAATCATCTTGTTCGACATGTCTATCTTGGAAAATCCAACTCCCCTTGATAGTAAGACTTAATTCCATTTCTGACTCAATATGACTGACTTTTTTTTTTGTTCTTTTTTCGCTTCATATGACTTGGGAAACTTTACAATATTTTCTTTTCTTGAAATGACTGCTTTTTCTCGTTTGATGATCATAAAATCTAGACTTTATATTCTGTAGTATGTTGTATGTTTTGCAATGTGTACATCAAAGACTTGATGTACACATACTACTTTTTGTCCTAAATGTTTATGTCTTGCACATTTTTGTATCGTGAAACATTTACATTTTCTTCCTTTTAAGACTTAACCAGCAGGGTGACACTGAAAGCCAAGAGCAACCACTTCATTGGCACTGTATCTAAGAAGCTGAAGAATCACTTCATGTTTAACACAGAATGGAAGAAAAATGCTCAAATTTTTTTTTAACATTTTTTTTAATGCCTTCCTACTAATTCAACTAAAGCGCAAAGACAGGTTGAGCTTCAAACCCCTCGGATCCTTTCATGCTCTTATTATTTTACGATTGTTGGAGCACTTTGGATCCAGGGTTTATCTGCTGTCACAGTCTTTTGTCACTCATCCACGCAAAGTGTGATTGCGCCATCTGCAAGACAGAGACAGGAAAATATATGAAAACATGTTCCCATTCTCCCCCTCCCCGCAATAAACAACAGTTTAGTTTTTTTTTTTTTTTTTTTTAATAAACTGTTCATTTTGGCGTAGTTGAGATCATAGCTTCATACACCGTACAAGAAACCACCATGCCCGAGCATAAACAACCAATCACAGACAGAAGGCGTGTCTTAGTGCAGCGGTCGTTTTTTGCCCCATGGACCGGTTTAATGTCAAACAATATTTTCAGGGACTGGCTTTTAAGGCCGGATAAATTCAACAAAATAATATGATATGACCTGCATGAAAACTGTGGTGTTTTCAAAACAAAATAATAAACCCCAATCATGACAGGGGGGATGTCTTATCTGGCCACCACACTCTCTGGTCGCTGTGGTAACGTTTAAACGTGCCTTCAAAATAAGATCCTCGGCGAATACAAAGCGCATGAAAAATACGACGCACCATCGCCACATATTATGCAGAGTGGGCTTGGTGCGTGGGAATCTCCCGTTGAGATAGGTCTGTATTTGAAGTGGGACTCTTGCTACTGTCTGTCCTTTTTCTTGGAAGTCGTAGGCTCCTCTTCTGGCTCCCGTCTGGGTCTTTTTCCCTTTCCAAACAAACTTTCCAAAGACATTTGGCTTTTACTCATTTTGGCAGCTCCTGGGTCTCATTTTCGCGGTAACTAATCACGTGACCGAGAAGTGCGCCTTGACCTATGTAAAGAGTGACCTACTCTAAACGGATTTGACAGAGAATCCGATAATTTTTCAAAATAAAACATCTTTCACATTCCGAAATTAATAAAACGGAAGTAATGTAAGTTATTTATTCTTCCTGTGCGGTGCGATACTAAATGATCCACGGACTGGTACTGGTCCGCGGCCCGGGGGTTGGGGACCACTGACCTAGTGGATTTCAGACGTGAGTGCCATGATTACAGCAGAGTGATTTTGAATAAATCAAATTATAAGTACAAAATGTGGCCAGAGACAGCAAATTTTATTGTATTTTTTACCACTTCTCATTTTCATTGTGGACGACTTGTCGCTTCATAATGACGGTTTTAACAAATGACGTTTTTTTTTTTTTTTAATCGATTGATTTATTTATTTTTGATTGCAAACTTCCGCTTGAGAACGAAACAAGATGAAACATGACACAGCTACTCACGCTCATTTCTTTCCAAGCCGCAGACTTGGCCCTCATCACAGTGTTGCACCACAGGCGCACAAACTTCAGACAAGGGCACGGGCACACAAGCATGGCAGTCCAGAGCTGCACCTGAACGGTGGTGGGTCGTAGGGGGGTTGCAAATTAAAACTTGCAGACATTGTTCTTGTTAGAATTCAACTTCAATCTCATAATTGTGTGTGTGAGAGAGATATATAGTGTGCATGCGTGTGCGCGTGCGCGCAGGTAAATATGTACATTTTTGTCTTCATATTAAAACTAAAAATGAAAGTAAAAGACACTCACCAGCTGTGAACAGCAGGGCCACGCTGAAAGCCAAAAGCAACCACTTCATTGTGTTGTTCACCAAAGCAGTCTGTTGCCGACGTATTCGTCAAGATTTCTTCCAATCAATGATCACTTCATGAAAAAGTGTCCTTTTATAACTGAATATTATTTACTCATTGTGTTTACCCACTTAATCCGAAGATGATTTTAATACACCGGTTTTCGGAGTGACAGGTCAGGTTTTGATCTGATCGTTATTATTATTAAAAATATATTTTTTCCCCACAGCTTTATTGACTCAGGTAAAGCAACCGAGAAGATGGCTGCAGTCAGCAGAATATGATACAACTTCAAATGAAGTCGGCGCATGATATAAAATGAAATATGACGATAACAATGAAATAAACCCGAAATACAATGATTTGCAACTGCTTTTCAACATAGATTCAGGTGAATACACGACAGACACGTATTGTTCATTTATTGTCCTGAAGAAACTGAACTGTCAACAAATATCCTGAATTTAAAAAAAAAAAAACCTTTAAGCCTCAAATATTATGCACACCCTGAGCATTGAACTCATTATTTCGTGTGCCACGTTGGCTTAGTCAATGTCCTGAGCATCATTGAAGCTGTCCTCAAGATCATGATATACATGATATACCTCTGTCCTCTTCGCAAATATGTACTTGCCACCCAAATAATTATTGAGGAATACACATGAAAAGCTGAAGATAGTACTGTATTGTGTGCTCTTGGCGTAGTGGAATTGGTGATGACTCAAAATCTTTGGAGCCGTTGCCAAATGGGGAAAAAAAGTTTTTAATTTCTTAGTTGCATGTGATTTAAATGTGACATAATTTACCCATCTTCTCCTTAAAAAAAAAAAAAGAATCAAGTGTTAGTGTTCTACATTTTCATCATGTCTGATCAATGTACATGTTCGAGTTAAGTAAATCCGAAGGATTTTCTTTCCAATTTGACCGTCACATTGCCTCAATATATATTCTCTCATGACATTCCATACATCCTGATTCATAAGAGTGAATCAAGGAGGCTTTTTGGGTCATCTCGCTCTGAAGAACAGGTTATTACACTTCAAAAGTTGAAGATGGTACCACATTGTGTGTCCTGGGTGGAGTTTTGTTGGGGATGAAACAAGATCTTTGGCACAGTTGCTGATTGGCTTCCACAGGGGAAAAAAAAACATTTTTGTTTGCGCATGCTTAAAATGTGGTTAAAGAACAAATTTCCCCTCTTTCGTTCAAAATTCATCCATGTTCCCTAATTTCTAGGCAACAAAGCACACAAGATTAAAAGCCGCGACGGCGAACTTTAGCCAAAGAAACAAATATGTTGTATGTACACACTTTATTAGCCACAGCGCGCCATGTTTTAAAATGGGATATTTGCAAAGAAGAAAAAAAACCCTCTTAATTACCTTAAACACCAGTAAACGTTTTTGTTCCAAACAATGCGGAACTCTGAAAGAAAACAAAAAATAGAATCCAAATGTTTTGAACTTAAAAATTAAATTCAACTGAGCTGTAACAAATTTCCAAACTGACATAAAAAAAAAAAATTCACTGTCGTATCATGCACAGTTTGAACATTTAATTCGGTAATTCTTAATTCCACTCGTGCTATTTTGATAATCACCAATTTGTGGTCTCCAGTGAATCCAGCATACGTTTTATTTGGTCTTGATGATTAATATTTGCATCCATTTTGTACTGAGCGTCATTGAAGACTTCAAACTTTTGTCAAGCTCACGATTCAAACTCATGTGGCGATCCTCTGCCCTTTTCACAAATATTTACTTTTCCATCCACCCAAGTAATTATGATAAAGATTTAGACTTCAAAAGTTGAAGATTGTGTGTTCTTGGTGGAGTTAGGTTGCAGATGAGTCAAGATCTTTGGCTCCATTGTCCAATGTCTTCAACTTTTTATTTGAGTGAATGATAATTACACATTTGCGAAGAGGGCAGAGGAGTGTGTGTGCGTCTGTGCGGGCATAACCTGTTGTGCACTGAAATTTTATGTTTTGCAGACTTCAGTCAGTGGCTTATTCATTCAATTCATATTGAAAAAGCACAGCAACGCCAAAGTCTTCATTTTTTGACAATTCTTGATGTTGTTTTTTTTTTCCCTTAGATTTGTTCCTGCTGGTTTTGTGAAGGTGTGTGACTGGTACATGTGTGCATTTAATTTCATGAAACCCTGACTGTGGATGCTCTATTCAATAATGACTACTCGGCCATGTGTTTTGCTTGCTATAGTGTGAAAGTAATGATCTTTTTTTTTTTTTTTTGTTCCTCCCCCATTGTTCAAAGATATAGTGCCGTCAAATTACTGGTACCCTTGCACAGGTGACCTGATGACAATCATCCCAAGAATCTTTTGTTGTGTTTTCATGTGCTCAGAAGCCACTAGAGCCAACGGCCCAACAGATTATGCATGATAGGCAAACTTAAGGGGTTACTTTCAACATGAAAAGAAATTTTCAATCACACAGAATGCAAGAAAAACAATCCCCCCAATTTTTTTAAAAACATTTTTAATGCTTTCCAACTTTAACCACCAACACCCTCCAGTCCTTTGATGCTTTTATGAAAGGATGATCGCAGTGGTCCATTCTGGAGCACTTCAAGTTGGTGGTTTGTCTGCTGTCACATTCACGGCCATGCGCAATACTGTCCGTTGTTGACTGCAAGACAGAGAAAGAACAGTATGTGACCATGTCAGTATTCTTTTGTTTCTGCAGTTCAGTGAAGCCCCATTTATTGTGAGGGCATTTGACACATGTTGATCATATTAGTAAGCCCCCAGTGTGCCAACTCCACACCGGTGGCAAGAATGAAACCCACATCTGGCTTTTGGTTTCTCTGTGCACAAGTTTGGCAAAATAGGATGAAACAATGTATAGCTGCTCACCTGTATCGTCACGGCAGACTTGGCCCGGTTCACACGTTGAGGTGTGAGGGAAACATGGTCCCGCATATGTTTTAATACAGGAATGGCATTGCAGAGCTTCACCTGAGGAGTAGATTGTGGGTGTTTGATAAATTGAAATTATTTTTTTCTCTCGGCATTTCCCATTAGGGGTCGCCCCAGCATGTCATCCTTTTCTATCAGTTTGTCTTGCACATCCTCCTCTCGAACACCGACTGCCCTCGTTTGGCTTTTGACTGCGCCTGAGACTTGATTTTGAGTTTGACTATTTTTGTGCTTTCTACTGTCTTCGTTATTGATTTGTTCTATTGGTCGTTGCTGTACGAATTCTTTTTTGTTCCGTGTACGGCACTTTGTGTACAGCAGTGGTTGTTTGGAAGTGCTCTATAATACAGTTGATTTGCCTTGACTCATTCCTCTTGCCCACTTTGCCGGCACCTCCATTCTCGTCACCCTTCTACCAACATATCCTGTCCTGTGAACATGACCCAACCAGCTAAATCGGCCCTCTATACTTTTATACTACGAAATGATGACTTGTGCTCTGACTTTCAACTCCGTAGAATAAACTAGGCTGTCTGAAAGGAAAATGACACTCACCAGCTGTGACCAGCACGGCGACGCAGAAAGCCAAGATCAACCACTTCATTGTCGTGTTCACCACTGTAGCCTGTCGTCGACTCGTCAGTTTACGCTTCTTCCGCTCGATGATCACTTCAGTCCAATGTGGTCTTTTATACATTAGTTGCTCTTGTTTGCTTGTTGTCTTTTACAGCCTTGCCCCTCGTCCAAATATGTATCTCTATGATTTGTCATGGCCCCACCTTGACTCGAGGCAATAGTCGAACGATTTAATGCACAGGTACAGTCCTATAGAGTTTGCCGATGAGCTGATCAGTTGGATCAGGTGTGTCGCAGGAGGGAGAGATGGCAAACATGCAGGACACCAGCCCTCGAGGACCGGACTTTGACACAGATGATTTTATGTGAAGAAACCAGACATTAAAACCCGCTTTGCGCGCTTTAAACAAGGGACCTAACTTGTCATCATTGGTAAAATGACGTCAAATGAAATGATACAAGAGCTCCGTTTACGTTGACATCTTGGATACAGGTGGTGCAGAGTCTTATTCCTATTTGTTGCGCATATTGTGGGAAGCAGTCAATCATTGATAGTGGTGCTCCACCCTCTCAATTACTAACAAACTGAAACAATCGATTGTACATCCGTACGTATCTTGATGGAACCCTGAAATTGAAATCTCGCTCTCATAGCCCCTGTGACATCCATCATGTTTGTTTCAAGCCGAATTTGATCGTAAACATGCAACTGTCGTCACAAGTCTGGGCGTTCGGAGGGCCCAATTGCAGAGACTGTAGACATTGTGAAATCAGACAATCGTTCGTCCATTTGTGAGTAACATACACAATTTCCCTGTCCCACTGAGTCGTTTGTGTTGACGGCAAAGTTCGTGGCCCGCTTTTGATGATGAGCAAACTCAAGGGGGTGCAGTGTGTCCATCCATTTTCTAATCCGCTTATGCTCACAAGGGCCGCGGGTGTGCCGGAGCCTATTCCAGCCGTCTTCGAGCAGTAGGTGGGGGACACCCTGAACCGGTTGCCAGCCAAACGCAGGGCACACATCGAGGAACAACCGTCTGTGCTCACACTCATACCTAAGCGACAATTTAGAGTGTTCCATGAACCTGCGACGCATGTTTTTGGAATGTGGGAGGAAACCGGAGTACCCGGAGAAAACCCACGCAAGCACGTGTAAACTTAACACTGGAAGGCCGGAGCCGGAATCGAGCTCTGCACCTCCGACGTGCTAACCAGTAGACTCCCGTGCTGCCTGCTCAAATCATATGCAACCATTTTTTTCCCCCCACTGCACAAAAAAAAAACCAAATAGTTCTTCGTCTCTTGTATACTGTATTCTGCTATACTTATTTCTTGATGTATAACAGAATGAGAAAAAAAATGCTCAATTTTTTTTTTTACATTTTTTTAATGCTTTCTCAATCAACTAAGCTCCAAAAACATGATTTGAACCTTGAACCCCAGAAGTATTTCTCCTGTGATCTTAATTGTTTAACGCGTGTTGCAGAGGTTCGTTTTGCAGCACTTTGCGTTGGGGGTTGTGTCGGCCACAGTTTCTTCGCACCTTTTTTCATCCATACATTGCTGGAGTGTGCTAACTGCAAGACAGAGAAAGTTCCAGAGAAATGTGATAATGATGAAGGCGGAAGCGAGAGCCGAAACTGTCAGTAGACAAAATGAACATCATGGCGCGAATGTGATGTGTTCAGAATGGAATATTCTGTTTACTACAATGGATTACTGTGAACATCTTTTTATGGTGGGGGCAGTGGAGGGCCAAGCTTGAAACCACAACATCCGAGCCAAAACAACCAATCAGAAAGCGACGGTGCGACTTGCTGGATGTCAATCATTTATCGCTTGCGATTGCAGTGGTTTCTTGCTCGTTAATTTAGAGGCTTAAAATGGGGCCAGGTACGGCTGATTCTTCCCCCCTGCTCATTTTTTTAAAAAATGTGTACTACTGTCAGTTTATGAGTTTTAACAAATATGGCAATGAGTTTTTAAAAATGGAAACTCCCCCTTTAAAACAACAACAAAAGATGAAGCCTTGCATAGTGACTCACACTCATCTGATTTCACAGCGCAGACGTCGCCCTCGAGACAGGTTTGGGGAAATCCTAACGGTCTGCACATTGTAAACATATTCACACACTTATGGCATTGCAGTGTTTCACCTGTGGGAGGGAGAAAGAAGGAGGGTGACAATTTGAAATGGGCCAACTTTATTCTCGTAACAACAAAACTGAATTCCTGGGAAAGTTGGAACCCTATGGCAACTTTTTTTTTCCTCCCCCAAAATGGCTTTTTTTTTCACATTTTGTATTTTAAATTTTTACAAGATTGAGAGGTGATGATTTTTCACAACAATAAGCCTTCATCGTCAGCAAAAAACACTTTTTTGCGCAGTCTTTGAGCTCGTTCTTATGCACTCAATATTTAGTCATTTTGGTCCTCAGCTATGGAATAGCCTGCCAGAGAACATCAGGTCTGCAGAGACTGTTGACGTTTTTAAGAGGGGGCTTAAGGCACATCTTTTTAGCCTGGCTTTCACATAACATATTTATAAACTTATTTCAATTTAATTTTGTGCATGTGTGTGTGTGTGTGTGTGTGTGTGTGTGTGTGTGTGTGTGTGTGTGTGTGTGTATACGAATGTGTGTGAGTGTGTATATATGTGGTATGTATGTATAAGTGTAGAGAGAGAGAGAGATGTAAACACATGCCTCTTAAAATATTTAGAATTTCAGAAATATTTTCATTTGAGTCCTTAAAAGAGAGAAGATGACACTCACCAGCTGTGATCAGCACAGCGGCGCACAAAGCCACGAGCAACCACTTCATTGTCCTGTTCACCACAAGTAGTCTGTCGTCGACTTGTCAGTTTAGGCTTCTTCCGATAAATGATGACTTCATTGAAAAGTCTTCTCTTTTATATTATTTGCCCTAATTTACTCATCATGTTTCCAGACTTTCCAGACTTAACCAAATATGTTTTCGGCATGTGTGGTATGTGTACAAACAATGAGTCATGAGTTTGGTTTCCGACTCCTTGGATGATTAAAAGACCAAAAAATTAATTGTCTCGTCGGCATCAATATTTGCAGGGCAATTACCATGAGCATGGCTCATACTGTTGCTAAAGCTATGGATGTGCTGGACCAAGTGCCAAGCACATCTTTGAAAAGGGGGAACGGGTCTGAGAGAAGACCCTCCAACTTAACTGACCACGTACCCAACAGAGTTAAACCAGAGAAGCCGATTTTCTTTCATCTCACAAGTACAACGGAATGAAGAACAGAATCATAGACTTATCCGGATGCACAATATTGTTTCTCGTCTTGGGCAACAGTCTTCAACCGTTTTTTTGCCTCAGGGAGCAGTTTCAAAAAGAGACTTGTTTTGATGGAGCAAAATAGAAACAAATAAAAACAAATGATTCAATGCGACTTGCTATCATGCTGAAGGCAGTTAGTCATGCACATATTTCTCATCATCAAGCCTGCCGGTCCGTACCGTAGCATGTTGGATGGAAGACGCAACCTGCCGACATCAATGCCGGGCAGAGGAAAAGTATCAGTATTTCTCTTGCACTGTGTCTATTTCACATGTGCTTTTGGCGTACGAAACAAAAGACTTGCATATTGTACCAGTGACCATGCCATCTTTTCCATTTATGGTTAAATATTTCCAGCGTGTGAAGCACACGTCGGCTGTGTCCCCTGTTGCCACTTGTATACCGCAACGACTGACATCCTTGTGCTGTCATGATTTTTTGTGCGTTCTATCCTGCAGCTTCCACGATGTTGCTGAGTTTGTTGTCAGCTTGTTATTGGACATCATATTTTGGCGACAAAGATGACCATTCACTTGGCACCACTGATGTTGCGCCTCATCACTCGACTCGGTCCCGCTGCCGCCGGCATAAACCTCTCAGGCAGTCAGACTCGAGGCGATTGGACTAACTTAGCAGCGTGAAGCAAACCGCAATGTTTCTCCACAAGCAGTAGGAGAGACAGGCAGGCATTCTGGCAGGCACCGACTCTCCTCAGCCCCATCTCTCTCCATACTAAAAAAATAAAAACATCAAATAGCGTTTGGGGACCTTTGGTGTATGGCACAAACAGTACTTTTAGCGTGACAGAGGCAACATATGGTAGCTTCATCTTTGTCGATGACGATATAGAAATTTGCTCCAGCTCATGATATAGGCTCATGACGTGGTAGTTGCAGGAACGAGATGGCGCCGCGGTATAAGCTGTTCAGTGACTACAACCGCAAAGTGAATTCACAGTTCACATGTGGCACTTCACCAACTGTGATGAGCAGGTTATGCCTTCAAACCAAACCTCTGCCCTCTAAGCAAATATGTACACATCATCCAACCAAATAATCATTATGGAGATTTATACTTCAGAAGTTGAATATGCTTCCGCTTTGTGTGTTCTTGGTGGGGTTGGGTTCGTGTCTAGTGAAGATCTTTGCCGCATTAGCCTAAATAGTGGTGACGCGACAGTTGGTTCAACTCCCGTCGCATTGAGTTGTTTGTATTGACGGCATGGTTAGTGGCCCGGTTTTGATCATGAGCAAACTCGAGAGGGTGCAGTATGTCCGGAACTGCCTTCTTGACGTGTGTCATGACCACTTTCCTGAAGCAATTCAACATGACAAAAACCCGAACCTCACCGAGCGACGAAGGTTTGGCGTGTGCTTGCGTGAGGCTCGAATGTTGATTTTTCATCAGGGTGCATTTAAGGCCGTAAACGGTCGCAAAGATGTTCGCTAAACATTCGCCAAGAGTTTTAATGGTCACAACTAGTATTTTTATGTTTCACCTTTCTTTGCGACAAGAAAAGCTGTTTATAGCCTTTTAGGAATCCTGACGAAAAGCCAACATTTGCGACTCAGTTTGTTGCACACATTTATACAGTGCCGTGAAAAAATACTTGTCCCCTTCCTGATTACTGTGTTCTTGGAATATTTATCACACACGAGTTTCAGTTCATCAAACCAATTTTAATATCACAAGGAGACAACCCAAGGAAATACAAAATGCGATTTTCAAATGATAAAAAAAAAAAACAACAACAAACCTTTCTGACCCTCTGTGAAAAAGTCATTGCCCCCAGAGCCTAATAATGGGTTGTGCCAACCTTGGCAGCAATAACTGAAATCAAGCATTTGTGGTAATTGCTGATGAGTCTCACATCGCTGTGAATTGCTGA